CAGAGAACAGAGACTCTCCTCCTGCACTGTGATAGATAAAACCTAAAGATTGTCAGAGCACCAGTCAGTCAAATCAGTTGTTGTCTGTCCCGAGTCAGTCAGCGTTTTTCCCAGCCGGCTGGGTCCCCCAAAAGGTACCTCGTCTACTGTTTACTGCAGCATGGTCATTCCCTCTCGTCTCCTCCCAGACTCATTCCTTTTTATCAGCTACATAGCCACTTCCCAACAGCTGGACTCTGTCCGTCTTGACGTCTATCGGGCCCCCCTTCTCACTCCATTCCTAATCTTAATGTTCCTACCAAGATCCTCACAAAAGAACAGGGAGTTTATCTCTGACCATACTTAGGATTTAACTAGAATTCTTAAAACTATGCTAATAAGTTTCAACTATCCAAAGTTTGCTCTGAGATGTACTTCGAAAACAGGCAACATCTTGGCCACTTACATAAGCCCATTGTCTAGCTCACATGAACCCATAACCACTCAGCTCAAACAAGTACAAATAATAAAATAAGTACAAGTAATGTCTATATGTGAAGTACATACTGTTCTATTACATATTTCTTCTGGAATCTGATTTATTCTTAACCACCACAGACAGGCAAGACATGGACTTGATACACTGATCAAGACATTTCCCAACAAAAAAACATCAACAATGCTTATTACTGAACTTGCTCCAAGAAATATCTCCATTTGGTTAATTACATGAGCAGTGGCCCATATGGAAAGGCCACTCAGCAGGACAGATGGACAGAATACCACAACAAGAAGTTGAACAGAGCCTCGCAGCACCCAGATGGGCCGTGGACAGACAAATGCAGATTGATGAAGTGTCACATCGCGTAGTACGCAATACAGACAAACAAATTGATAATTAGGTTGACCAGCCAGGGCTGCATTGCACAAACTAATGTGGTAATGCTGTGATAAGTGTGTGATAAAGATGCTATCAGCCATGGTGAGTGATGCAAGCCACCCCTGCTAGGAGTGTATCCGCTCTCCATCTGTACTCTTGGAGTCGGTCTTCCCCCGTGGCACCACGTGGCACAGCCCACTGATTGTTTACACTACTCAGTATCTCACACACAAAGAACTGTTATAGTACATGATGACAAAGACATACATGTGAGACAAAAGAAAATGGCAAAAATAGAGAAAGGATGTCTGTTTGACAGTCTGCTGAAAGAGGTTTGGCTCGGCACATCGCTGTTTGTTGGCAGTGTCGGGCCAGACTGACGGGTGACCTTGAAGAGTGAAAAAAGGTTACAGAGGAGATGAGATGAAGATGATGGAAAAAGATGGAGAGGAGGATGAATGATTATCATTCGTTTTCTTGTATCAGTGGCTGGGCGGTTAATTACTGTGGATGTATGTCACCCAGTGGAGAATGTATTGAACAGTATCTTAGTAAGAGATACAGGAATGTGGGATTTGTCTACATCAAAAGAGCCAAATTAGACCAAATTAAAGACCAAACAAGAGCTAAGTCCTTAATAAGGCAGTTTAAAGTAACTGCATTAGGATTAAATGAGCCATTACACTCACTTGGTTGCCTTGTCAGAAGAATGGCACAACATGCACAAAGAAGAAGAAGAAGGAGGGGTGAAGTGGGTGGAGGATTTCAGGGAAGGATAAAAAGTACAAAAGTGAATTTGAGGAGGAGAGCACAAGAGAGGAGAGGTGGAGGTGAACAAGTAGAGAGGCACAGTGAAAGAGGGAGGGTGGTAGTTGACTGGAGGAGGGGAGAGAGATGTGGAAGGAGCGAAGGAGGAGGGGGGGTGACAAAGGGTGACAGCTGTGACACTAATCCTGTCCATCCACTTTCACACATACACACACATGTGCAAGCTCTTCCCATCATTGTTCCTCATCTTTTACAGCTTCTATTCCAGTCCCTCTGTAGACCAAAGCTGTTTTAGTTGCTGTTATTCTCTGGAGGGGGGGGCGCAATTACAGTGATCCAGTCTAATTCCTGCCTCTCCAAACTGCTGTTACAGCTAGATGACTGAAACAGGGTGAGTGAGGATATTAGCACTGGTGTTAATGGGATCTAAGGTGGGAATTTGCCTATCAGAGCTCCCTCCAAAGAGACGGTGAGGGAGAGCTGAGTGGAATGAAGCAAGATTTTGATTAATGATGTGGCACGCCATAACTTGT